CTCAAGAGTCTACGAAATTTCACATAAATATTTATTAATATAAAACTCAAAACTACTCTAAAATTCTAAAACTACCCTCTAAACTAAAATTACAAAAATATATTAATTCTCCCAAATTTTGCTATTTATAATGGATATAATATTATTTTGAAAATCAAATTTACATATGAGACTATTTAAATTTAATAACTTAAGTAAATATATTTTTATTACCTAAAATCTAAATATTTCATATTAAAATCTCAATTATTTATTATAATCTTATTTAAAAAAATTTCTTAAACCAATCAATTCTTTTGAATTATAAATAAACTATAACTTTATCTAATTTCATAAAATTCTCAGTTTATAATTTTTCAAGCTTTCAAAAACTATTTCAATAATATATTTCACCTATTTAACATTCAAACGGATTAAAATTTCAATAATATATTAAATAACTCAAATAAACTATTTAACTTAAATTTAATTAGTAAAAATATTCTATATTTTCAAATAACAAATTTTTCAACTAGAATCTTAATTTAAAATTCTCAAAACAATCATTGAACAGATATAAACCGATTAAAATTCCTTAACAACGTATCTTTAAATTTCTACAGTCATATATTGTCAAAACTCTGATTCACTTCATATCCAAATGGTAAAATTTTCTCTGAACATTATAACGATACTAATAATATAATGCTTTAAATATATAGAAGATACTCTTAAAGAAAATTTGATAAAAATAGGTATATTTGTGTACCTAAGTGGTCCCTAAAACTTGTCACGTATCCTGCAACTCAACTCACTTGCTCTCTTTCTCTTCTCTGCCTCTCACTCTCTCTTTCTCTACTTCTCGCACAAAGTGAAAGGAAGACAAAGACCACATGTGTTTAATATCATGATATTTAATTCTCTTTCTTGATTTTCTTCTGTCTACACCCATCCTATTTCTTCTTCAATTGCCCCTTATATTTTGTTTTTCAACCTGCATCCTTCCTTTTTCCTTCTCAATTAATACCACTTCCAATTTTTCTATCTTCATTTACTACTCCTCCCCAGCATTCTTTCCTCATCTGTTCATTCCTTTCTTTTTTTCTTCTCTTCATTTAATACTCCTTCCCAACATTCTTCTTTCATTGAATACACTCCATTTTTTTTAACCTCATCTACTACCGTCCCTCAAAATTCTATTGATAAGTCAAATGCCACAACTTTCCACCAAATTCGGTTGTCTCTTTAAAAAAAAAAAAATAGTATGTTACATTTTTAGTAGTACAATTTGACTCAATTTTTTTTTTGGGACATACCTCTTAGGAATGCAATTTTACCCTAATCTTATTTTTTTGGGCTATTATTTTACTCTTGATCTTCAGGTGCAATTTTACCCGTGACGGGTAAGATTACTCCAAAAAAGGTCATAGGTAAAATTACACCATTAAAAAGATTGGGGTGTTGGATACACTTAAAAAATAAGATTAAAAGTAAATTTCCACCTTTATCCTTCTCTTTTAACATTTCATTTAATTTTAACCATCATTGTCATGTGAGATTTGCCGTCTTTTTTTTTTAGGTGAGACAAAGATATTCCTAAATCATATTAGACTTGAGACTGATTCCTTTCAAGTCTGAAGTGGTTAAGGAATAATTATCCCAACAAGTACGCTTCCCAGAATTTAAACTTTTATTCTCCTCTATATGGAGATGAGGCTGCTACTACTTTAATTAACAGCTTATTGGTATTTGTCATCTTCTATTTACACAAGGAAGTGTGAGTCTATGATTATCGTTTTATTATGAAGCAACTTAAAAAAAATGCTTTTATATAAATAGAGATAAAAAAATTTTCCCATAGTTATTTTGTATGTCATAAGATTATTTTTAAAACGCCAATTCAAACAAATAACAGGTTGAAGTACTTGGCGGTCCCTACTCCTTGGAGAACATATGATAAAGTTGACGTGCTCGGCGGGCTAAAAGAACAAATGAACCACGTGAAATGTCGTGGTACAATGTCTCCCGCCCAAAACATGCATAATCGTATCACTAATTTATAGAAACTATAGAAATTACTTAAATTAGTTTTTATAAAAAGTTATGTGCTACTTTCAATTCTTAATATAAGAGTATGTTTGTTTTTTATTTTAGTTCTAAATATAAGAATTAAATCTAATTTGTTTCTAATATTTATCTATTTTTTTAAAATAGTCTTTGTAATAATAGTAGTTCTAACTAATACATTTGTTTAATAAAAATATTTTAAAAAATATATTTATTTATTACAAATAACTAATTTAACTAGTTTTTTCAATCTACTCAAATTAATCAATGCGCTCTTATTAAAGACCAGAGGCAGTATTAACTTCCTCAAAGTATTTTTTAATTATTTGTATTGAAAATTATTTCATTAATAGAAGACAATCAAATTAAAAAAAATAAATTAAAATGTGATATTTAAGATTTAAGAACAATTTTTTGTACTAATTTTATATTTAGCTCAGAAAGAGCAGTAATTTTTGGTCCCAAGGAAAAAAAAGAAAGAGTAGTAATTTTTATTTTTATTTTTGTGCCTAAAAAGAGTAGTAATCAATGGATGTCAGGAATCGTGAATCACGTGAAGCTGGCCAGCCGAACTCGGGCAGCCTCCTTTTTTGACCGGATCACTACAGTAAAAATAATAGAAAAATAATACTCTTCCTATGTTTAATATAGAATCTAATTATTGAATTAGTTTTGATCTTAAATATAAGATCTATTTATTATATTTATTAATTTTTTTAAATTACTCCTATAGATACTCCCTCAACCATAATCAAGTTAAAAAAAAAAAGATAGAGTACTAAAAAAGATGATTATGATATTTTAAGAAAAATGTGTCACATTTTTTATAATGAACTAACTTACCTAATTTCCTTAATCTAATCAAATTAGTTAAATATGTCTTATATTAAGAATTGAAAGAGTACTTCAGTTTGAAAATATCTAAATAACTTTTATTTTAGTTGTATATGACTAATTAGAGATTTTTAAATTTATTACAATTACCATATTGCCCTGAATAAATTTAAAAGAAAAAAAAGATAAGCATGCATAGGTTATACCACCTCCTTTAACGTGGTTAATAAGTTTTATAACATTATTAATAATTTTCTTATCATTTTTAACAATAGGTTTTTCAAGAAATTAAAAAAATGACACTTTATAATTTTAGTAACACTGTTAACAGGTTATATAATGATATTAATAATTCGCATAATGTTATTAATCATATGATTTAAGAGTTTTTTTTCCACTTAGAGAGATTAGTTATGACATCATAAATGAAATTTTTTAACAATTCATGTAACAGGGGTGACAGATTCTTTGATACTATTAATAATTTTGTTATTGCTTTTGACAATAGGTTTTTTTAGGGAATTAAAAAAGTGTTACTTTTACAACTCCAATAACATTATACAAGTCATGTATTGATTCGTATAATGTTATTAACCATATGATTTGAGAGCTTCTTACACTTTGAGAGATTAGTCATACCATCAGAAATGAAAAATTATAAAATTTCTGTTGAGCTGTTAACAAGTTCTTTAACTCTATTAGCAAGTTTATTATCACTTTTAACAATAGACTTTGCAAGAAATTAAAAAAGTTTTATTTTTACAACCTCAGTAACGTTGTTAACAACTCGTATAATGATGTTAATAATTCATATAATGTTATTAACCATGTCATCTAAGAGTTTCTTACCCATGAAAAGATTGATCATGGCACCATAAATGAAAAATTTTACAGCACTTGTAATGCAGTTAACAAATTGTTTAACGTTATTAACAAGTTTGTTATCACCTTTAATGACATGTTTTTCATGAAATTAAAAAAAATGGTATTTTTATAACTTCAGCAACATATTATTAAAGGCGATAATAAACTTGTTAATAACATTAAAAAACTTGTTAACTACGCTAAAGAAGTTGTTAACCTATACACCTACTTCTCCTTCTCTCTTTGAAAAATTACTCAGGGTAATATGGTTATTTCAATAAATTTAAAAATTCTTAATCAGTCATATATGATTAAAAAAATTTTATTATTCAGGTGACTATATGGAAATTTTTAAATTTAAATATCATTTTTTTGTCATTTTCTCATCACTGCAATCCAAAATTGAGTTTCCCCTTTTTTTTTTTTAAAAAAAAATAAATTTTCCATTTCTATTAAAATACGAGGGTCAGGTTCTTTACATATGTTAAATTTTTTATTCATACATAATCATGTACTCTATTTTTTATATGATTTTATAATTAAATAATGATATTTTAAAAGTAGAACAGTTGACTAAATGTGATTAGATAACTTAATGTAAGTAACTTATGAATTTTACTCTTACTTAATATATATTTTTAAAATATCAATTTATATAATAATAAATAAAAAGTGAAGTTACATATTACTTCTGATTCAAATTCTAAAATCTTATTTATAGTTTAAAAATAAAATTTTATAATTAGGATGAAGCAGATTTTACCTAGAAAGTTCAACAACATGGCTTGTAAACGGGGGAAAAGACGGTTCCCCACTTGAAAAGGACATGAGAAGTACCGGTTCGGAGCACTGCTTCATCACCAGCATTAATTAATTATTTTTTAAATGCCAAGCGAATCAAATTGTGCCTGGGCTTCGTTACATGATAATAGTGTGCTTGTAGCCGTGTAATGCAACCGAAATCATTCAACATATGAGTAGTTTATATTTAAAATTTTCCATGGTAAGTTTATTTTTAAAATTTTTTAATTATAATATTATTTTTATATTAAATTCAGTATCAATTAAAATAAAGAATTATTTAAAATCTTTTTAAAAATTAAATTAAATTTGGAAAATTCAAAATCAATCTAGGTGGTTTCCGCTATTAGCTCAGAGAGTAGGTCCTCGTCAAATTCCACTATTAGCTCATTATTATATACCTCGTGATCGAAGAGAGAAATATCATCAACATGATGTTCTATGCGACCATAGAAATGCCCACCACATTATTGCTCATATTATCTTTTATCAGTTTTATGTTCCTTCTGCACAAAGTCTTCTCCGATCGGAAACAAAAAAAGAACGATCAGAAACGACCACCAGGTCCGCTGGCTCTGCCGGTCATCGGAAACCTCCACATGTTGGGTTCACTTCCTCACCGGACCCTTCAATCATTAGCCAAGCGATATGGTCCGATCATGTCGTTGCGGCTGGGGCAAGTCCCGGTGGTTGTAGTCTCCTCACCTGAAGCAGCCGAGCTGTTCCTAAAGACCCACGACTTAACATTCGCGAGCCGACCTAAGAGTCAGTTTTCCGAGTTCATCTTCTACGGCACCGCCGGTATGGTGACAAGTGAGTATGGCCCGTACTGGCGCAACATGAGGAAGCTTTGTATTCTGCAACTTCTTAGCTCGTCAAAGGTTCAGTCGTTCAGTCCTTTACGGAGGAAAGAGTTGGGATTAGTAGTTACGTCGTTAAGGAAGGCCGCGGCGGCGCGTGAAGTTGTTAATCTGAGCGAGGCGGTGAAGAAACTTATAGAAGATGTAACGTACATGATGGTTCTGGGGCGCAACACAGATGACCAGTATGATTTGAAAGCACTTGCTCAAGAGATCATGTGCCTGGGCGGGACATTTAATCTTGCAGATTTTGTCCCTTGGCTAGGAGCTTTTGATATCCAGGTATTAAACAAAACTAAATACATATTATTTAGGGTTCTAATGCCGTGGTGTCTAACGTTTTTCTTAATGTCTGATCGAAAACTCGTTTGAAATGATTTAAAACAGTTTTACACTCACGATTTACAATTGGAGAAATTTTATGTTAGCATACGTAAAACGTACTTGTTCGTGTTGATTATCATGATTCCAAACGGGCCCTAAATTTTTTTGGAAAAATTGTAATAAAGTCTTACATAAGAGAATTAAATATAAAAAAATCCCGTAAAATCATCAAATTATTCTGAAATATCAAAAGATCTCATTGTAAGAAATTCTGATCTGTTTGTTTAATTACCAAATTATCCTTATTATTATTTTTTAAAGTATTCATTAAAGTGCAGTCATTAATAATTTAAGGTGTAGCAATTAACAATTATTGCAGTAGCTATGGACAATACTCATGTATTATATTTTTGTGATGCGCTGAGAAAATGTGTTGTTATTACCTGTTGTGCTAGTTTTTAATTGTTACATCTTAAGTTATTAAGTTATCAACGACTACTCTTTCAGTTGTCAATACATACTTAAAAAAATAAGGGGAAGTTAGTAATTAAACAAATAAAATCTTTTGCAATGAAGTTTCTTGAGATTTCAAAATAATTTGATGATTTCAATGTACTTTTTTATACTTAATTCTATTGGGTGGGATGTCATTGCAATTTTTCCAATTTTTTTTGTTGATGATTAGTGATATTTTGATATAAAATGATGTAGTTTTAAATTTTTCTACGTTTTGTCATAGAAAAGCAATTTTAAAGTACACCATTTAAAATTATTGATATTTTAAAGTATTTTTATGTGAAAAATAGTAAAAAAATTTAAAACTACACCTTTTTATATCCGTAAGATATCAAAATATCACTACTTTTATGTAGGATGTAATGATAAATAGAAACAAGAAAAAGAACATTTGAAAAGTTGAGCATTACAAGAGACATTAGAGAGCCATTAGGGTACCCTTGTTAATTAACAATAGAATTCATGGTGGGTTTTTCTTGAAAAAAAGATAGAAAAATGACATATTAATTTCATAATGCTCAAAATATCAGCTCAATTTAAAAAATCCTATTTATTATCATGTTAAATGAAAAGACCAAATTACCCTTCATTTTATTTATTGTTTTTAAAATACCAAAGCCCTCACTGGCCGGTTGGTCACCAGAGCTCCGGTGACCGGCTGACAATTGGTCATTGGAGCTCTGTCGGTGAGAAATAATTTTTTTAAATTTTTTTACCACTTTAATATAATGATTAATAACTTTTGTAACGCTATTGACAACTTCAGTATAACAGTTAATAATAGGTTTTCTGGGAAATTCAACAAGCTCTGGCAGCCGGAAATAATTTTTTTGAAAATTTTTACAATTTCAGTATAACGGTTAACAACTTTTGTAACGCTATTAACAACTTCAGTATATCAGTTAACAACAGGTTTTTCAGGAAATTCAACAATTTGTCACCAGAGCTCCGGCGGCAGAAAACAATTTTTTTTTGAAAATTTTTATAATTTTAGTATAACAGTTAACAACTTTTGTGACACTATTAACAATTTCAATATAACAGTTAAAAACAGGTTTTCTGGGAAATTCAACAAGCTTCGGCGGCCGGAAATAATTTTTTTTGAAAATTTTTACAATTTCAGTATAACAGTTAACAACTTTTGTAAAACTATTAACAACTTCAGTATAGCAGTTAACAATAGGTTTTTCAGAAAATTCAACAATTGGTTGCTGGAGTTCTGCAGCCGAAAACAATTTTTTTGAAAATTTTTGCAATATTAGTATAACAGTTAACAACTTTTGTAACGCCATTAACAACAGATTTTTCAAGAAATTCAAAAAGTAGCATTTTTACAACTTCAATAATGCCGTTAACAAGTTGCGTAACTCTATTAACAATTTCTGTATATCATTTAACAATATGTTTTCTTAAAAATTAAAAAAATGGCATTTTTACAACTTTAACAGTTTTTTTTTTTGAAAATTTTTACAACTTCAGTATAACGGTTAACAACTTTTGTAATGTTATTAACAACTTCAGTATAGCAGTTAACAACAAGTTTGCAGAAAAAATTCAAAAAGTAGCATTTTTACAACTTCAGTAATGTCGTTAACAAGTTTCATAACTCTATTAACAATATCGGTATAGCATTTAACAATAGGTTTTCTTAAAAATTAAAAAAAATAGATTTTTATAACTTTAACAACTATTTTTAAAATTTTTTTTTACAATTTCAGTATAATGGTTAACAATTTTTGTAACTCTATTAACAACTTCGATATAGCAGTTAACAACAGGTTTTTCAGCAAATTCAAAAAGTAGCATTTTTACAACTTTAGTAATACCATTAACAAACTCAAAAACTTGTTTTTAACCGCTATACTGAAATTGTTAATAATGTTACAAAAGTTGTTAACCGTTATATTGAAGTTGTAAAAATTTTCAAAAAAAAATTGTTTTCCGCTGTCGGAGCTCTGGCGACCAATTGTTGAATTTTCCAAAAAACCTGTTGTTAACTAATATACCGAAACCGTTACTAGTATTACAAAAGTTGTTAACTGTTATACTGAAATTGTAAAAATTTTCAAAAAAATTGTTTCCAACCGCCGGAGCTTGTTGAATTTGCTAGAAAACTTCTTATTAACTGCTGTACTGAAATTTTTAATAATGTTACAAAAGTTGTTAACTGTTATGCTGAAGTTGCAAAAATTTTCAAAAAAATTATTTCTGACCGACAAAGTTCCGGTGACCAATTGTCAGCCGGCCACTGAAGTTCCAGTGACTGCTATCGCTGGAGCTTCGGTGACTACCACCGTCAGAGCTTCGACGACCGGCCGGTCAGTAGGGGCTTTGGTATTTTAAAAACAATAAATAAAATGAAAGACAATTTGGTCTTTTCATTTAACATGATAATCCCAATTTGGTCTCTTGAGACCAAAATGGGATTTCTTAAATTGAGCAGATGTTTTGGGTATTAAGAATTTAATATGTCATTTTTCTGTCTTTTTCCTTTTTCCTTGTCTAATTATTTGACTCCTGACTTGGCTAGGGATTAAAACGAAGGTCAAAGAAAACAAGCAAAGCACTTGATGATTTGCTGGAGAAGATAATAAAGGAGCACGAGGAAGAAACTCCTAATGTGCATAAAAACCAAGACTTCATAGACATCTTGCTCTCCCAATTGAACCAGTCCATATCGGATTCCCAAAGCGACCAAAAAATCATTAATCGAACAAATATCAAGGCAGTTGTGGTTGAAATGATTGTTGCAGCACTTGAAACATCTGCAACTGCAATTGAATGGGTCTTCTCAGAACTCTTCAAACATCCAAGAGTGATGAAAAATCTTCAAGATGAGATAAAAAGTATAGTTGGAATGAGCAGAAAGGTTGAGGAAATAGATTTACTGAAATTTAATTACTTGGATTTGGTGGCGAAGGAGACTTTCAGGCTGTACCCTGCAGGACCGCTATTACTTCCTCGAGAATCAAGGGATGATATTATAATTGGTGGATATCACATTGAGAAAAAATCAAGGGTTCTTATAAATGCATGGGCCATAGGAAGAGATTCCAACGTGTGGTCAAATAATGCTGAAACATTTTACCCAGAAAGGTTTATGAACAGTGGCATAGAGCTTCAAGGCCAAGATTATGAGTTGATACCATTTGGTTCTGGTCGAAGAGGTTGTCCAGGGATTCAGTTGGGTCTCAGGACAGTGAAACTGGTTATAGCTCAATTGGCGCATTGTTTTAATTGGGAGCTTCCTTCTGGTATGAGTCCTACAAATGTGGACATGAGTGAGGAGTTTGGACTCTCAATAACAAGAGCCAACCACCTACTAGCAATTCCAAGTTGTCGCCTGTCTAGTGAAGCATTTGAAGAATAAACCAATCTGGAAAATACGCATAATTTATATGTTTGAGTATTAGAGATAATTTTATGTGAAGTACTATGGGGTACTAAATGTTAGTACTTCTCCTAGTGAGAATTCAAATATTGGTTTGAGAGATTAGTTCTTTCTACTGGATCAATCTTGATTATTAGTTAGACGCTTGAGTGTGGATGTACTATTTCAATATTTCAATATAGCATATATATAATTATATATACATTTAATATCTCTCTCTTTTCTTCCCATGTTGAAACATCGACGAAAAGAAAACTTCAGTAAAATGCCAATATGCATGTGTACTGTTTACATACTAAAAATAAAAGTTTCTGAAGAGTGTGAAAACCACGAATGATGATATTATAAAACTCAGGGATTACGCTAGATGACATTATATAATTCTATGTACTTTTACTGCTCCCTCGGAATAATTCTTAATATTTTCAAATTTATACAAAAAAATTTACTGAATTAACATTGCTTTCCATATTAATTTTTTTTCTCATCGATCTCTTACACATTATTTATTTGCTCTCTTCTTTCCCGTTTATCTTCTCAAAACGATTGGAGGCTGAGATTTTACTTTCAAGCTTCCGCTGGTTCCCCTCAAGGTGATGATAGCTGTCCCTGTTTTAATTAATTCCAATCACCCTGCTCGGCCGAGCGAGAGAGAATATTTTATTTCTCTGGAAATATGGATCATATCGTTTTGCTGCTTTCCAATTTGATTTGATGACCACTCCGATGTGAATATATTGATATCAATTTATCAATATCTATACGCTTTGGACCAAGTGTCTTTCATTCCAAAGCAAACAATCGATTAATCATGTTCGTTTAACATTAATCAGGGAGCAAGTCAAGATTTAAAAGTGAAGGGATCCATATTAAAAAATACAAATATTTTTAATAGGCAACAAATTTAGATTTTTTTTTTAATTTTTGTAAATTAATTATTTAGCTTTTAAATACCACCTCCGGCCCCACCATCCCTCCCTATCACCGGAAATTAGCCTTCACATGTGAAGGGCACAAGAGATAATCAGGCCCAAAAAACCTAAAAATACAAGAGACAAGCGTCCGATCCATTTTCCTAGAATAGTGTGTGGGCTCCATCTTCGGATCGCATCCAAAGCGGATATGTTTATTATGGGTGAAAACGAAATTAAGGTTTTAAAAATAATTTTAAAATATACAAAATAAATATATAAAAAGATTTTACCTCAATTTACATAAAATATTTTTTTTGAATATGTTTTTGTTATAATCCAAACACCTCAGTTCGGGGAAAGAGGAAGAGGTGGGAGACACGATGAAGTCACCGGAGAGAACGCGATGGCGCATGAAGCCGTGGACATTATAGAGGTGGATATGAAAGTAATAGACAACATGATTTATATGATGATAATGGCCCCATTTGGTAAAGCAGTGGAAATTTCCCATAAACACATTTCACATAAGTCAAGACAAAACTCCTCTCACATACTTGTCTCGTATTTCGTAAATTATTATTGAAAAGCTACTTATGAACTGTTTCAAACTGACTCATAAGCTGTTAATTTTAATTTATAATTTATTGTAGTTTTTGATTCGTCCATCCAAACAACAACTAAATTTCTAATTGGACTTTTGTCCAATTTAAGATACTTTTAACCTCCTGAAAAGCCCAACCAAACAGGCACAATAGGAGGGTTGTATCTCTTCTCCTTAATCTAAACGCTACTCAATAACTAAAATTCATTTTCCTGTCATTTTATTGCGGTCGTGGAAGTGTAACGTTCTTATAAATTTTTGAAAAATTTGTAATAAGATCACACTCAAAAAAATTAAACACAAAAAATCCCTTAAAATCATCAAATTAATCTGAAGTCTCAAAAATTCATTTATTTAACTACTAAACTGTCCCTTTTTTTTTTAAAAAAAATATGCATTGATAATTAAAAGAGCAATCGTTAATAATTTAAGGCGTAATGATTAACAACTATCACCTATGATTAACAACTATCGCGACAAGTAATAGTGATAGTTGTTAATTGTTACGCCTTAAATTGTTGACGAGAACTCTTTTAATTGTCAATCCATACTTAAAAAAATAAAATAAAGGCATGTCAGTAATTAAACAAGTAGAATCTCTTGTAATGAGATTTCTTGAAGCTCTATATTAATTTGATATTTTAAGGAACTTTTTTGTATTTAATTGTAGATGATATTTTGTTACAATTTTTCCTAAATTTTTTTCTGTTTTTTCCCCATCAAACATTTCATTCTTTTTTACTTTTAAATATTCTATGATATGTGCAAGTCTTTGGAAGAAGGACACAGCTAATGCTTTGCATCTTTGGCGGCTCACGCTATCTCTTCACTTGGCTTCCTGTGGGTTGGCCCTTCCAATCAGAATTCTACAGTTGGGCAAGCTCTCGGTAAAAACACTATTATAACGAGTACTAAACCTTTAGGAAAAGTGGAAAACAATATCTCAAAAGCTAATCATTAGAGTTGCTCAAGAGCACAAAGCCTTATAAAATTTTTAGGAAAAATTTCCATTAAGGACGCAGTTAAGGTTTTATTTCAAATAGCTTTCAAAATATTTTGAAATGTCACTGCAGAACTATAAGTTACATGGAGCAAGTCAATAGCATCAACTTGTTATTAATTTTAGTTTTATTAGCTGGATGTTAGATATTTTTGTTTTTCAACGGGAGCCAGCTTTCAAGTTTGAACTTTGAACCTTAGCAGCTCAGGCGGCTAATTAATGCTTGACTAATATTAATCATTTAAATATTCTTACTGACAAAGTCGGATTGCTTCATCGGACCTCATGAAATCCCCCTCCTCCAGGGCTACTTTGACTGGAACACCACAAGACGGAAACAATCTCATTGAAGCCTATCATCAAACATGGATCCTTCAACGCTAGCCATCCCTGCAGTGATATTTCTCTCGTTTCTCTTCATCCTAACACAGCGTCGGAAACACAGCAGACATGGCCAGAATGGGAGACAGCCACCGCCAGGTCCACCGGCTCTGCCGATCATCGGTAACCTCCATTTTTTGGGTCAACTCCCCCACCGCGACCTTCAATCCATGTCCAGTAAGTATGGACCCATCATGTCCTTTCGGTTAGGACAAGTACCGGCGGTGATAATTTCCTCATCGGAAGCCGTCCAAGCGTTGCTCAAGGCCAACGACGCTGTTTTTGCCAGCCGTCCCAGGCTTCAAGCCAACGACATCCTTACCTATGGATCCAAAGGCATCGTATTTTGCCAGTATGGACCTTACTGGAGGAACATGAGGAAATTGTGCACCTTGCATCTTCTCAGTGCGTCAAAAGTGGAGTCTTTCGCTCCTCTGAGGAGGGAAGAGTTGCAGGCCGTTGTCAAGTCCCTTGAAGAAGCTGCGGCGGCGCGTGAGGTTGTAGACGTGAGCCAGGTGGTGTCCGGGGTTATAGAGAACATTGTCTATAAGATGATACTGGGGTGTAACAAGGCTGACTTACTTGATTTGAAGGTGTATATTCACGAAGCAATGAGGCTCACCGGTGCTTTTAATCTAGCGGATGTCGTGCCTTGGCTTGGGCGATTTGATCTTCAGGTATGAAATAAACTCCGTTATCTTTTATTTTCCTTTTTTTTTCCCGGAATTTTAGAGGCACTGTACATTTTTTTATTTTAAAGAAAACTTTTTTGACGACATGATCGAACCAACTTTATTAAAAAATACACAAGATGCCCTGAGTCTAATGGAATCACTTCGCCTAGACGTCGGGCACATATGTGGGGTCATTCACAATAATCATCAATTATACTACCTCATATTCTTAATATGCTCGCAAATTTGATTTTTAATTTAATTTTAAATATAAGACTGCAATCAGTTTTATTTTTTATGTTTATTTTTTTTCAAAATAGTTTTTTTTAATAATTACATATGTTAAAGATTTCATTAAAATAATAATTTTAATTAATATGCATTATTAGTAAGAGTATTTTATGAAAACAGTAACTATTTATTGTAAATAACTAACTTAACAAATTTTTTTATTTTCTTCAAACTAGTGAACTAATTTTTATATTAAAAAGAGGAGATAAAATCAAATAAATAGTACTGGACCCTTAATCAATTGAAGTTGTGCTATACGATTAGGGACTGAAACGAGCCACCACAAAAATCGGTAAAGCATTTGACGAAATACTAGAGAAGATAATTGAAGAGCATGAAGGTGCTATTAACTCACCAAAGGACCGACAAGACTTCATAGACATACTGCTCTCATTGATACACCACGCCGTGGACGGACAAAACTATGGCATTGAACGAACTAACATTAAGGCTATTGTACTGGACATGATTGCTGGGGCATTCGAAACTTCTACCTCTGTCATTTTGTGGGCCTTATCTTCACTGATAAGGCATCCTAGGGTTATGAAAACCCTTCAAGAAGAGCTGGAAACTGTGGTTGGAAGGAACAAAATGGTGGAAGAGACAGACTTAGCAAAGCTTCATTATTTAGATATGGTGATCAAGGAGACCCTGAGATTATACCCTGCAGGAGCATTGATCCCTCGAGAGTCAACGGAGGATGCGGTAGTTGATGGTTACTATGTGAAGAGAAACACTCGAGTTCTAATCAATATGTGGGCTGTAGGAAGAGATCCTAAGGTCTGGTTTAATGCCGAAGATTTCTGTCCGGAGAGGTTTGTTGAGAAGAATGTTGACTTTCGAGGACTTGACTTTGAGTTCATACCGTTTGGATCTGGTCGCAGAGGATGTCCTGGGATACACATGGGTTTGGTTACAGTTAAATTCGTCGTAGCTCAATTGGTTCATTGCTTTAATTGGGAGCTTCCGTTGGGACAGGATCCGAATGAATTGGACATGAGTGAGAAATTTGGCTTGTCACTCCCGAGAGCCAAGAACCTGTATGCTGTGCCAACTTCTCGCATTAAGTCCCATTAAAACTTGTTTGGAGTGCCCTGTACCGACGTACAATAAATATGATATGTAGAGTGGCTAGTTTAATACTTCCTTCATTCTTAATTATAAGACCTCATTTATAATTTATAGATAATGTCTTATGATTAAGACCGGAAGTAATAAATAAAATGGTACGTACCTATTCTGTTAGGTAGTCTCATATGAATATATATATACATAGAGAGAGAGAGTGATAAACAGAGTATTCTGCATCTCTGTTTGTTACGCCTGTGGGTGATGCTTGGGTAACTGGTTGGAATTGGAAATTAGTGACTGGAAAAATATTCAAAATAGTATTTCAGAATAATTGCTCGTTGAAAAATATTCATCGCAAGAGGCCAAAACATCAATATTCAAAATGGTTTCTTCAAAATTGGCAACGCCTGCCCTGCTCCTTTTCTGACATTCTTATTCAGGGTACCTTCTGCCTTCCAGAACATCCATTTTCCTCCAATTGTACGACGTCGTTTTTGCGAGCGGCACAGCTTATACGCCACGCCCCCCCTCCATAGTCCATATGGAATCTTTCTATAGTGGGAATTGAAGGGGTCTTCTCAGAACTCTTCAAACATCCAAGAGTGATGAAAAATCTTCAAGATGAGATAAAAAGTATAGTGGGAATGAGCAGAAGGTCGAGGAACTACATTTACTGAAATTTAATTACTTGGATTTGGTGGTGAAGGAGACTCTCAGGCTGTACCCTGCAGGGCCACTGTTACTTCCTCGAGAAACAAGGGAAGATATCATAATTGGTGGATATCACATTGAGAAAAAATCAAGGGTTCTTATAAATGCATGGGCCATAGGAAGAGATTCCAACGTGTGGTCAAATAATGCTGAAACATTTTACCCCGAAAGGTTTATGAACAGTGGCATAGAGCTTCAAGGGCAAGATTATGAGTTGATACCATTTGGTTCTGGTCGAAGAGGTTGTCCAGGGACTCAGTTGGGTCTCAGGACAGTGAAACTGGTAATAGCTCAATTGGTGCATTGTTTTAATTGGGAGCTTCCTTCTGGTATGAATCCTACAGATTTGGACATGAGTGAGGAGTTTGGACTCGCAATAACAAGAGCCAACCACCTACTAGCAATTCCAAGTTGTCGCCTGTCTAGTGAAGCATTTGAAGAATAAACCAATCTGGAAAATACGCATAATTTATATGTTTGAGTATTGGAAATAATTTTATTTGAAGTATTATGGGACACTAAATGTAGATACTTCTTCTTGCGAGAATTCAAATATTGGTTTGAGAGATTAGCTCCTTCTATTATTACATGTATAATGAAACGTCTTGTCTATTTCAATATTTCAATATAGCATATATATATAATTATATATACATTTAGGGTGTGTTTGGATGAAACCAAACCGTGGTTTGGAAAAGTTATTCTGGAGAATAGATTTTGGGAAGAATAAATTCTAGAAAGAATAAATTTTATGAAAAAATGATTTTGAGAAGTGAAAGTGTTTGGATAGTTGTTATCAGAAGCACTTTTTATATATACAAATTACTAAAAAAAAGATATAAGTTAATATGATAATTACAGAAAAAATAGATTTTATGATATATTTTAATTTGAAGGAATAAAATTGTTAATAATATATTTTTTATTAACATAATTAATAATACATAAGATAATATAATTAATAAATAATTAATCTGTATATATCTTTATAAAATATAAGATTAAATATGTTTATAAAAAAATATGTTTATAAAAAAAATAACAAGATACATATCTTATAGGCTCTCACACTCTTCCTTTTTTCTCCAAAAGCAAAATTTTTTTGCTTTTTCCAAAACTATGGTTTTGACCCAAAACCATGGTTTGTACAAATTGGGTGGGTGTTTGGGTGACTTATCACCCAAACCATGGTTTGAGGTGTCACCCAAACGGTGCCTTAATATCTCTCTCTTTTCTTCCCCTGTTGAAACATCGACGAAAAGAAAACTTCAATAAAATGCCAATATGCATGTGTACTGTTTACATACTAAAAATAAAAGTTTCTGAAGAGTGTGAAAACCACGAATGATGACATTATAAAACTCAGGGATTACGCTAGATGACATTGTATAATTCCATGTACTTTTACTGCTCCCTCCGAATAATTCTTAATATTTTCAAATTTATACAAAAAAATTTACTGAATTAATATTGCTTTCCATATTAGTGTTTTTTTTTTCATCGATCTCTTACACATTATTTATTTGATCTCTTCTTTCCCGTTTATCTTCTCAAAACGATTGGCGGCTGAGATTTTATTTTCAAGCCTCCACTGGTCCCCCTCCTGGTGATGATAGCTGTTAGAGCCGGTAATATGGATTGAGTTCGCGGGCTCAACCCACCAACCCGCCAACAAGTGGCGGGTTGGGTTGATAAAAATTAGGACTGTTTTAAAATGGAAGTTTTGAGCCCATAACCGCCAAGCCCAAACCCGCGGCGGGCTAACCCGTTTAACCATTTTTTTTTGTTGCAAATTTTTCCCTTTGCCTCTCAATCTCTACACTATTGGCCTAGTCCACAGTGTAATAATGAGCAGTCCATGTCCAATAGTCTAACACGGCAACACCAACACGGTCTCATTTTCACGTTTTGCTTGTGTGTCGCACTCCTCCCAGACTCCCAAGTCCCAACTCTCCCAGTCGCCCTCGGCCAATCCTAACTCCCAAGTCCCAAGCCCCAAGCTCTCTGCTCTCTGTCTTTGCTTTGCGCCTTTGCCCTAGCTCATGAATAGTGATGATTGAGCACTTGATAGTTGATACTTGATAGTGATTTGTGTAGTGACATTGTGTTTGTGACTTTGTGGTAGTGTTAATTTGGATTTATGTTTTAATTTGAGATGTTTGTTAAATTATTAAGGACATATCATGTTCATTTAATCATATGTTTAATATTTTGATATATTTGAAACTTGGAACTTGGAACTTTGGATGGGTTCCATGTTTTATTTATGATAATTTATATTTGCATGTTTTATTTTAGGTATTTAGAAATTTGAGACTTCGAGTATGTTTTATTAAAAAAAAAAGTAAAAACAAAAAAACAAAATTTGGCAGGTTGGCGGGTTTTTCCCCCTCGCGGGCCGGGTTGAAAAAATTCCAGCCCGTCAAAAAGCGGTCCTAAAAAGCCCAACCCGCCAAGCTTCAGGCCCGTCACGGGCCAACTCATAATCGGCGGGTTGGCCCATATTACCGGCTCTAATAGCTGTCCCTATTTTAATTAATTCCAATCACGCTGCTGGCCGAGCGAGAGAGAATATTTTATTTCTCTGGAAATATGGATCAAATCGTTTTGTTGCTTTCCAATTTGATTTGATGGCTACATCTATCTGAATATATTGATATCAATTTATCAATATTTATACACTTTGGACCAAGTGTCTTTCATCTCCAAAGCAAACAATCAATTAATCATGTTCGTTTAACATTAATCAGGGAGGGAGTCAGGATTCAAAAGTGAAGGGATCCATATTAAAAAGCACCAATATTTTTAATAGGCAACAGATTTAGATAATTTTTTTAAATTTCTGTAAATTAATTATTTAGCTTTTAAGCACCACCATCCCTCCCTGTCACCGGAAATCAGCCTTCACATGTGAATGGCACAAGAGACAAGCGTCGGATCCATTTTCTTAGAAAAGTGTGTGGGCTCCATCTTCTGATCGCGTCAAAAGTAGATATGTTTATTTTGGATGAAAATTAAACTATAATTTTAAAATATATAAAATAAATATTAAAAAATTATTTTAATTTATATAAAATATTTTTTTGAAGGTGTTTCTTTTATAATCCAAACACCCCTGAATTGAGGAAAGAGGTGAGAGACACGGCGAAGTCAATAGAGTGCGATGGCGCATGCAGTCGTGGACAACTGGACGTTAAAGAGGTGAATAGGAAAGTAACAGAGAACATGATTTATAGGATGATAATAAGAGGGTTGAATCTCTTCTCCTTAATCTAAACCATTTTCCTAAGGTTTGATATGGCCATCAAGATAGTATGAACAAAGCCTATGACAGATTGGAATGAAAATTTGTAAAAGAAGTAATGAGAAAGCTCGGGTTTGGTGAGAAGTGGATTACCAAGGTTATGGAATGTGTGACTTCAACTAGTTTAAGTTTGCTGGTAGGAGGAAGGAAGGTGGCTGATTTGAACATGGAACGAGGTATTAGACAAGGGGACCCTTTGTCTTCTTATCTTTTTATCCTGGCTGCTGAAGCTCTTTCTCTGATGACACAATGGTTTGTGGAAAGGGGAAGATTAAGGGGTATTAATCTAGTTGAAAGTTGTCCTGTTCCATCTCGTTGCTTTTTTGCCGATGATGCTCTTTTTTTCATCAATGTAGAGAAGAGGAACTATGAATTGTTGAAGAGCATACTTGACTGTTACTGTGAAGCCTTAGGTCAGGTGGTGAATTTTGATAAATCTTGTGTATTCTTCTCTAAGAATGCCAGTGATAGCTTGAAAAAGGATATGTATGATGTATTGGGGATAAAGGCAAGTGAGAACCTAGGGAATTATCTGGGACTGCCAATGATTTGGGGGAGATAGAAAACTGAAGCTCTTTCCTTTGTGAAGTGCAAAATGAGTTTAAGGTTGCAGGGTTGGAAATAAAAGTTATTAACTTTTGCTGGAAGAGAAGTGCTGGTAAAGTCAGTGGCAAATGCTATACCTGTGTTTTCCATGTCATGCTTTAAATTCCCTCGAAAATGTTGTATAGAGCTTGACAATATGGTTTCCAAGTTCTAGTGGAGTCATGGGGTTCAGAGAACTAGAAGCTTTTAACTTAGCTCTACTAGCAAAAACAACCTGGAGAATTGTGCAACAACAGGATGCTCTTTGGGTAAAAATGTTGAAGGGCATATATTTCCCAAATGGCTATTTTTGGAAGCAAAGAAAGGAAATAAAGCAACCTGGGGGTGGTGAGTGTGTTAGAAGGAAGGGATCTGATAAAGAAGGACTTATGCTGGAAAGTTGGGAATGGTGAGAAGATTTCTATTTTTGAAGATCAGTGGATTCCTACTGTTGACACTTTGAAATTGAGAGGTAGAAGTTTGAATGATAGTTTAAAGAGCCTCAAGGTAGGTAGGTTGATTAAAGAAGGAAGGTGGCATTTCAATGAGGTTCAGGAAGCTCTTGATGATGAAGACAAAGACCTCATAGTGCAGGTCAAAATTCCAACAACAAGCAGTAATGACAGAATGGTGCGGTTAAAAAGTAGAAGTGGTGAATACATGGTAAAACTCGGTTATAAGGTTGCTCTGAATACATTGGAGGAGAATGCTACTGATAAGCCTAGTGGTTCTTATAAACCCTCCAAGAACTTGTGGAGTGGGATCTGGAATATTAAACTACCTCCTAAGGTGCTCCATTTTATGTGGAGGGCTGTGAATGGTGCACTGGCAACTAAATAAGCTTTATACAAGAAGAAATGTTTAGCGAACCCCATATGTGAAATTTGCAGAGCAAAAGTGGAGACTGTTGAGCACATGCTATTTTTGTGTCCATGGGCAAAACTCTGCTGGTTTGGCTCCTGCTTATCCCTGAAGTTTGATGAAAAGGGAAACTTTCAGTATGACAAATGGCTGGAAGACTGGTCTGATAGTAAGATGGAAAAGGATAAATAGAATTTGGCAATTTTCACTGGAATTTGTTGGTGGATCTTGAAATCTAGATACAATGTAGTTTTTGAAGGCGAAAATGTTGATGCCTTGGGCTGTATGGCAAAAGCAATGACGTTAGTTAGAGACTTTCAGAATGCTACTAAAAGGGAAGGAAGAAAGGAAGGGTGCAAGAGGAGCTGTGATAGAGATCAGAAGTGGTTGAAACTAGTTGCTAATATGATCAAAATTAATGTGGATGCTGCATTCAGGCATAACCCTAAGGAAGTTGCAATAGGTGTGGTGTGCAGAAATGGGAATGGAGATTTTATTGGAGGTTTGAGGAAGAAGGTGGAATCAACCTCACCATTTATGACTGAGTGTTTAGCCTTACTGTCTGCTTTAGTGATAGCTGAAACAAAAAGCTAGGAAAAGGTAGTCTTTGAAATGGACTACCAGGAGTTGTATGGTCTAATGCAGAGGAAGGATGGGAAAGGGGGAGAATGGTGTTGTTCTGAGGTGGTGCAGAAGTGCATTGAAGTTCTTTCTGTTATGGCTTCGTGGAAACTATCCTTGGTTGACAGGAAAGGTAACAAGGCTGCAAATCTTATTGCAGCTGAGGCATTG